GAAACATAAGGAAACAAGGGATCAAATAAACATTTCATGTCAGGATTGAAACTTTTATTAAATGTTGCAAAGTGATCTTTTTATGAATGAATAATTTCTGTCACATAACACAACTTAAACATGAAACTACACACAATCTTTGCAAAAATATAATAATATATATATATATATATATATATATATATATATATATAAATAAGTAAACCATCCCCCACGTGGGGTGCGTTCTTGTGATTGGCTAAAAATAGGGAGATATCAGATTGGTTGCAGATCAATCCCTGTTTAAAAAAAGGCATATGTGTGTTGAGCCAAGTCAGGGGAGTCTCAAAATTCACACACAAATGCAGTGAAGTTCACAGACCGCAGGGAGTTTGTAAATCAAGATATATTTGTGTGTGCATCCGAAATACATTTCTGAATCTTGTCCTGTGCATTTCTGAATCTTGTGTGCATTTGTAAATTTTGTTTTCATTGTAAATTTTTGCATTTCTGAATTTTGTGTGTATTTGTGATTTTTGTATGCATTAGTGAATCTTCCGTGCTTTTTAATTTTGTGTGTGCATTTGTGTATCCTGTGTGTGTGTTTATGAATCCTGTGTGTGCATATGTGAATGTAGTGTGTACATTTATCTTTTTTGAGACTCTTTTAGCTCCATAGAGGGAGTCGTGTGGAAAAAACACCCGTTTCAAAACCACAGTCATTAACTCCATGGACTGTGTGGTTAAAAACATTCGTTATCCATTAGCCTACGACCACAAAATTGGCTGAGTCACTCTTTCTCTGTGCATGGAGTGTGACTGAGAGTTTGTGAGTGATTTCAAACTTTTTTTCCCACGCCTACGTTTTTACTGTATGATCGTTGGCCCTAAATTGCTGTGGATTTGGGTGCTTTTGGGGCCGGAACAGAGGAGGCTGCAGAGGAATGTCAGGAATGGGAGGATGACCTGGGGAGACCAGAGCTGCTGCAGAGTATGTTGCTGTACAGGATGTTGAGCTGCTCCAGGTCAGCCCTGATAGTGAGTCAGCTTATGAGGTAAAGTCTGCTCGTGGCTATGGTGATATGTCTGATAGCTTCTCTATAGCGACAGCTGCTCTCAGAGTGTCGGCCTGCATTCTCTGGAGCAGATTAATGGCTTCCTGGATGACTTTGGGAAAAAAGTTTATTTACTTCAGAGAGTTGTTGGACTCGATTTATTGGACAGCAAGAAGCGTCTCAAGAAACACATCACTGGTCTAAGGAAAACTCTTCAAACGACAAAGAATAAAATGTCAAAGACAATGAAACTTTCAGATTAAAGTACCACGATCATACAACACTGGGTGTTTCATCTCTGCTGGTTTTCCCTGTTGGTCTGTCTCTCTTCTCCTCACATGCAGCGTCTAAGGGTGCCTCATTAAACACAGCCTAAATAGGGGTAGAGAGTGGAGGGGGAGAGCCTTAATAACAGAAGCAATCACACAGAAAAGATTAGATGTAGTTTTCTTTACAGGAAAAACACAGTGATGGCACAAATGAAATAGATTGGGGCTTATGGTGGGGAGGGCAGCATGTCCTTAGCCATGGGACAAATTTAAGTGCAGGAGTCGCATTTTTGTTTTCCTCTATTAAATGTAAATGTTACATCGAGCACAGAGGTGGTGAAGGGCAGAGTCCTTATGGTGAGAGCTGAAGTAGAGGGGTTCAGCTTTATTTTATTAATGTGTATGCACCAAATCAAGGCTCTGAGCGTGAAGAGATTTTTAAACTCATGAAAGAAGAACTAAATAATATTGGAAGAGGAGAGTGGATTGTATTCGGTGGTGACTGGAATTGCAGCACTGACTTTACTTTCGATAGGACTGGAGAGGAGCCACATATTCAGGCCTCCTCTGTTCTGTGTCATGTATTAAGAAAAACAGATTTGGTTGAGTGCTGCACGTGGTGCAGTAGTTAGCACTGATGACTCACAACAGTGAGTTCAAACCCCAGCGTGCACTTCTTCTTTCCATGAAAACTCCAGCTCCTGTGGGAAGAAGCAGCTGTACTTCAGTTGTGTGCAGGTGCTGAACCTTCGCTCTCTGTGAAGTGTCAGACGCAGTTGGAGGGTCCTGTATAAACCCCCTGTTGAGAAAAGGATGGCGGACCTTCAGTGGAGGATGATACATGGAGCAATAGCTACGCACAGACACAGAGCTCACCAGGCACTAGGGAGGGCTGTCCATTCTGCACTCAGAGGGAAACATTACAACAGGCTAGTTGGTCTTTTTAGAGTGCTGAAGGAATGGGTGGAAGCTTTGGGAGAGGAATTCTCTGTCCCTCTGTTTGTTTTGGGGCCAAAATATGCAGGAAAAAACTGACTCTGGTTTTAATTAATTTTTTATTCTGGGCAGCGAGGCCAGCAGGTTGGAAGACCAGGAAGAGTCAGATGTTGGGTCAGGGCCAGACGGATGTGGTGCAGAGTCTGGTTGTGGCTCGTCTGAAAGTAGAGCACGCTTACACACTGATTAGTAATCTGGAATCATATAATCATTCATTCTCTGAAAATCAGCCAATAAATACATCTCAAACCCATACAAGATTATAAATCTGACATCAGCCACAAACATTAAACTTAAAGAATATGAAATCAGTAAGAAGAGAATAATAAACCTAACTGTTACTGCAGTAGATACCACATACTTATTGAAAGAGGGACGGAGAGCAACGTGTTTACTGAGCAGAGCAACAGTTGAGACTCTCCTGTGGAGATTTCGTGAGCACTGAGGCCCTCTACTGGATTCAGAAGCTGCTTTATTTTTGAGAGGCTGTGTTTTTAAATCTTTGTATGACCTGCGTTATAACCCATCTCTATCACTGTTTAGAACCTGGACTCTTTTTAAGTGGTGCAGACTGGAACACAGCCTCACTGTTTGGGCCCCTGGAGGAGCCTGGTTGGGAGGGGGGGGACCCTTTCCCTGAGATGGGTCTCAAAATGGGCTGAACTGGATCAACAGGACCCTTGCTGGTCTCTGATTCTGCTGCTAAAATGGACCTATATGTGTTAAACAGGGTGAACAGGCTCTGAGAGGAAAGATGCAGAAAAGTAACAACTTCTAAAGTTTGTAGTGGGACAAGATAAATGATTTGGTGAAACTCCCTGATGAAAACACTGAGGAATTTATTTCACAGAGGTGTTTCTCTACATTTGTTCAGTCGTTGAGAGGGAGCTGGAAACACTTCTTCTGAGTCTAACAAAACACTGATGACTCTAAACGTTCATAAACTGCAGATTTCAGATCATTTATCATCTCTGATGAACCAGACAAAGACGGTTATCGAGTTTTAAACAGCACTTCGCTGAAGACATCATCACAATATCTGGTAGTTTTCAATAATAACACAATTAGTGAGACTGACAAACAACCTAAACAATGTTTTACTGTCAGATTTTGTCTCAGCTTATATTTCATGTCAATCTGCAGATGTCTTTATATCAGATATCATAAGGTGAGGGACTAAATACTAAATACGACTCATATGACTGTCAGAGGATTAACAGTATTTTCACCCCTTTTTGAAGTTTTCATGTTTTATTGAATCCTAGATTTAATTTGACTTTTCAACGCTGTTACATGAAAACGACCGTCCAGGTTCAGGTGTGTTTATACTACAATCAGCTGAAACCACATGGCTGCACACAGGTGATCTCCACTTAATGACGTGACTTCTGAAACAGACTGTCTGCACCTGTGATCATTTAGGTCTGTCCTGTTAAAGGCTGTGAATACAACATGTATTTTATGTTCGTAAAACATTTTGATCATTTTGTTGTTCTGTTTTCACTGTGACTTTAAATCTGCTTTGATTCAATGTTGTAAAACAATAAAACATGTTCCACCATGGTTAATACTTCTTACAAGTGCTGAATATTTGAGATACTAGTACTTCACACAAGTAGTAATATTTTGTTAAACTATACTTTTCTCCATTTAGTATAGTTTATACTTGTTACTTTATACTTTTCTTCAGGGTGGCGCGGTGGTGCAGTGTTTAGCACAGTCACCTCGCAGCAAGAAGGTTGTGGGTTCAAACCCCGGTTGCCCCGGCCTTTCTGTGTGGAGTTTGCATGTTCTCTCCGGGTGCTCCGGCTTCCTCCCACCATCCACAGACATGCAGGCTACGTTTATTAGTAGCCTTGTGTGGATGTGAGCGTGAGTGGTTGTTTGTATATGTGTGGCCCTGCGATGGACTGGTGACCTGTCCAGGGTGTACCCTACCTTTCGCCCAATGACAGCTGGGATTGGCTCCAGCCCCCCGCAACCCTGTACGCAGGATAAGCGGTTGACGATGGATGGATACTTTTCTTCATTAGAAAGAGTAGTTTTGTATTTTTAGTCAACTGTACTTACTGTACAGTTAAAAAAATACTTTACTTTATTTATCAGACAGCTTCAGATGTCTGAAGTTTAAAGTATAAGAGTAGGCTACTTAGACCACTTACAGCTCCTCTTTGCTTTTGTGTAAGTTTCTGAAACAGGACTTTGAGTATTTCCATAGTTCTTATAGATAAAATTACTCTGGTATTTCACATTTGACTAAAGTAATTTTCGTCTGTAGGCGGCGCCAAAGTGTTAGCATAGGGTGGCTATTCAGTATCAAGTACAGATTAAAACCATCAACAACATATTAATTAAATTGACATTTGTTACAGATGCCAAGTATTCAGATGAGATTATTTCTACTACAAACAAACCTCTACTGCTGCCACCACCTATTTCTTCCACCTGTTTTATAAGACATGAGGTTTTCTTACAAACCTTTCAAGAAGATTTAATCTGCCCCCCCCCGAGAAATTTGAATACCAAACAGGGACAAAAGTTTTGGATTAAACCTGCTAGCTGATGGAATAAAAGACCTCATACAACAGTTTGTGTCACCTGTAGGGAGGTAAAACCGCCACCTTGAGAAAAGCAAATTATACTCGCTATATAAAAGCAGCTGGGAGTCTAATAATAATAATAATAATAATAATAATAATAATAATAATAATAATAATACTTTTATTCTTGATTTAAATCATGCTTTTTAAGAGCCAGTCACACAGTGCTTCACAGATATGATACACAAATGCAAATACAAATACAGTACATCAGCAACCATGTATACACATACATTATAGGCTACATAGAAAGATTAAAGCATACGACCAAAATAAAACTTGTACTGCTGGTCTACAGTCAGGCTCCCTTTAATGATTTTGTACAGATCCTACCCTGCCAAGATAAAAAACATGTTAAGAGTTAAGAAAAAATTTTAAAGAGTTAAATGTTAAAGTATGTATATGACAAAGTGATGCAATTACAAAACAAATGAACCATGTGGATAAGGTCCCTGATTCCATAATGCAAAGATTTTTGGTGAGCTTTAAAAAAATATATATTTATAAAAGATATCCTTAAAAAAAATACTTTATCTTGTGACTTAAAAAGGGTTCAGTCATCTGCGCTAATTTTCGACAGCCAATCACAGACAAACAAAGTCCGGACCAACACTGTACTATTTGCACGTTGTTTAAGTTGTTTGCATCAGGACCATCAGGGTCCAGGTCAGCATCACGGTCATCAGGGCCATCAGGGTCCAGGTCAGCATTCAGCATCACGGTCATCAGGGCCATCAGGGTCCAGGTCAGCATCACGGTCATCAGGACCATCAGGGTCCAGGTCAGCATCACGGTCATCAGGACCATCAGGGTCCAGGTCAGCATTCAGCATCACGGTCATCAGGACCATCAGGGTCCAGGTCGGCATCACGGTCATCAGGGCTATCAGGGTCCAGGTCGGCATCACGGTCATCAGGGCCATCAGGGTCCAGGTCGGCATCACGGTCATCAGGGCCATCGTTTGTTGATGAAGACCTCAGATGTTTCAGCTCACAGCCGTCGCCACCTTTTGCTCCGTCCTTCCTCTGAGTCTCATCATATATTTCTCTATGAGAACATGGACACAAGTTTAAAACACTTCTTAAAGGAAGTTGGTGTGAACACAATGAAATCTTGTAGCTTCACAATCAGCCACCGCAAACCTGCTCACAACAGCAGGGCTTTAAATGTTAATAAGAATATGTGGGACAGGAGTTTGTTTTGTAACTTACAGATCATTCCACGTCTCACCAGAACCCCGACGAGAACGCAGATAATGATGACAATCCCAACGACAGTGGAAGGGACAATGGCAATAAGCTGCCTGTTGTCCCCATCTGAAAGAAATCAGGAGATATAGGCTGCCTTTGAAACGGGTAAAAATGTTGTCTCAGGACGTGTCTAACAGGACAGCGAGGCATCGAATGCTGTTCGTAACCGATCAAATTATCTATTCCTGTCTCCTAAGATGCCTTCAAACTGCCCCTCACGGTCAGTTCTGAAGGCAGCGTCGACGGCGACTCGATGCTGCCTATTTCCTATAAATCTGTGCTTCTGCGGTTGCTTGCTGAAAATGGGAAGGACAGTGGACAAACGAGCCAAAATTCATCCGCAAATGGCTATAAGTTTATGAGAAATCTGTTCAAACTTAAACGGCACATTTACAAAAATACTAAAAGACAAATAACCAATGAAAAACAACAGAATTTCATCATAAAGTAATTTACCAGGATTGCTCGGTTCATCTGGCGGAGGTCTAGTTGTGCTGGTCACTGTTAAAAAAAGGTGGACAAAACTGTTGTCAGTACTAAGAAAACAGATTAAAATATCTTCTAGCAGTCAAAACAGAGGGACCTGCTGTGTGCTTTAGTAGCTCGTGAAGGATAAGGTGCTAAATTTAACAGGTTTTTTTAATCTGACATACACATTAACATATTAAGACAGGATGTGACATTGCATGTTTTAGTAGAGGTCCTCGTTTAAGAAACGTGACTAATGAAATACATCATGACCCGCTGAAATAACAGTGGGGGGACAAAGTGCATTATGGGATTTTTTTTGTGTGAGTTTGCCAGTTGTGACGGAGACAAATTCAAATGCGAAACGAAGCAGGGATTCAAATCAGGGTCTAAGCCACAAACTTAATTAGGATAATTATCTCCAATTCTGACAAACCTTATAGTATCTGAAACTGTATGAGCTCACCTTGCTCAACAACAGTGAGATCAGTAACACAACTGGTCTCCAGTTTTGGGACAAAACAGCTGTACGGTCCTGTGTCAGCCAGCTGCACTGAGGAGATCTGCAGAGTCATGTTTCCTCTGCTCAGGTCATCAAGGTTAACAGTAGTCCTGCCTCTGTAATGAGCCATCTGGTCATTGGGATTTTCCTGCTTGTGCCGGTACGCGTAGACCACCTTGTTGAGGTCAACTCTTTTCCAATCGAAAGTACGATCCACCACGCTGCGTGCAGGGACCAGATAACATGGTAGAGTGACCGTATCACCTTCCAGCGCCTGGATTCTCGAATTTGGGCAAATGGCATGAGGCTCTCCTGGGGAAACAAACAAACATTGACACAACTTGAACTTGATGGTTTTCAAACATTTAAATACACAGATTTTCTGTTTTTCTAGTTCAGTGGTGCAACAATTCCTTAAAAGTAAAAGTGCTGCTCCATCTCGTTCACTCAGCTGCTTCATCAGATCCGGAGACAGTCCTCCTAACCTGAATAATTTGATGTACTGGCAAAGTTTATATACCTGGCAGTAGTGGTGTGACAAGATCTCGTACCTAGTAACATCTGCAACTCTCCACACTGAACTGTAAATCTCAGCACAGTGCGTACAGATACATGCAGGAACACGTTATGAAGTTAAGGAGTAATAATGTGGAAACTGTAGATATTCTAATATTACAGAGTACAGTGTGACCTACTGAGAAATAATCTGGTGTTCGGGAGGAACTTAAAAACAGTTTACACTCCTATTTTAACTATAATGAGCCTAATCAGTGAGAGCCACACACAGGTCACTAACGAGTGTCCACCATATTAAAGGGAGTGCCACCTCAGCAGAGGACATTATACAGATGTTTTGTACTGGAGGCGCTAGTCTGTGCAGCACATCTACTCTACTAGGTGAGAGTGTTTTACGTTAGTTTAGCTGTTAAAAGACCGTATTTTAAATGGTGTGCATTGACTCAAAGTTTTTCAGTGACTGTCGTGTTTGTGTCCTTTACTGTACATAACAACTGTGACGGGACATAACATCAATCATCTTCTACAGCTGTTAGATAAACACTCCTGGTTTTCACTCCAGCTATTTACTGTAGAAATATCCTCATACTTCTACTTCTTGTACATCAGCAGTTATATTGAAATGTTTTGGATTATTGCTTGGAACAATTCAGCAGAGTCTGACAAGCCCTGAAGCTGAACCCAAGACTCCCTCTCTCATTTTTCAATTAAACGCAGTTTATTGGGATGAATGTTTAGGTTGAACAATGTTGCCAAAACAGAAAGTAACATATACACAATATCTCGCTCACTGTAATACTGAATAATGTTAAATCTGCTGCTTTGACAGAAGACCAACAATGCCATATTATTGCCAAAGGCTTTAATTCATGATCAGAATAATGGCTAAATGGGGCTTTTCAAAAAACATTCAGGGCAAGTGGAAGTTTTAGCAATGCTACCGCTAATATTAGCTGTATTTCCTAAACGTTTTCAACAACATACCAGTCTTACAAACCTAAAAACACGTTAACGTTAGTGCTGACAACTTTATAAGGTAATCTAATTATAAGGTATACCGTTAAGTTAACGTTAGCTTAGCATTCTTGCTAACAGTTACTCCTTTAACTTACTGTTTTCAGCTAACAGGGAAATGATGTTACTCTGTAAGGTTAGCGTTACAACGTGCGGAGTAAAACCAAAACTGTATAAATCAAGGTGTTGTAGTCCCAGTCGGGTTAGTTCGGGATGCACCAAACTACAGGAAGTACATTCTTCTTCTGGGTTTATGGCGGGTCGCAAACCGCCTTGTTTAGGTGCATACCGCCACCTACTGTACCAGATTTTTACTACGACTCATGATGAAATAGGCTACACAACATTTTCAGGAACATTAGGCTACAAACTCACATTTTTTAGATCAGCACATACAGATAAAAATCTCACTGCGTTTTTCATGGCAGTAAATTATTGTTACCCAAAAATTCAATTGCGGTCGGTTTTATTTTATTGTAAGCTGTTAAGAATAGACGTCTCCGCCCCGAGATTGAAACTGCTGATTTTCTACTAATATACCAATGTGTGTGTGTATAGTGTATTTATATATATATATATATATACACACACACACAAAATTCCTTAATAGGCTAATTATGGCCAATGTTATTAATAACGTATTACAATTAACGTTATAATGTAGTGAAATCCAAATAAACCACTCTTAATTTATTTGCTTGAAATTCTTCGTCAGACGTGTGATTTAGGGTAAATTAACACACGGACCCACGGGGGCCACATTTCACGACAAAACAGTGTTTTAGTACCACAGTTATATAGGCCTATTTAAAAACAGCTTACGTATTTTAAAAATTATGTTTTATAATCACAATAACAGGTGAATTCAGGTTGAGTGGGACACTTCAGCTTATGAGTACTATACAGGGTTAATTTTGTAAGCCAATCACAACAATTGTTATTGTGTTGTTGTTGAATGTCTATTGGATATGAAACAGAGGTTGTGATTGGTGGGACATCAAAGAAGTGGTCCCGTAGTTCTTTTTCAAATTGGTTGACTCCTGGGACCTCGTGGTAAACCACCCGGCAAGTGGAAATCTATATAAAATTACAAGGATGATAATTCAGTCATTTATGATTTAACAATAACATTTTTGCTTTTAAATGTCTTTATACTGTCTGTAGATTAGAGATTAATTACAATAAGGATGTAACTGGATCAAATATTTATGAAAATTAGATTTACAGCCTTTATTCAACCTGACAGTGTTAGATAAAGTGGGACAGGGCGTTTCAGGTTGAGTGGGACACTTTTAATGCTAATGCTAGTAAGCACAGTGCTGCAGTTTCATGAAAAAAAAGATAACATTTTAAAGTTGTTGGTAAGAATAATGTATCTGAGTATCAATGGTTGGTAATTTCTTAAATACACTAGGCTACACAAAAAATGGCCCCCATGCAAAGAAAAGATTAACAGAAAGAGAGAGGAATTAGTGAAAGGGGGACAGGACATGCGGAGAAGGTAAGGACAACAATGTAGGAAGGGAAGAAAACTGGAGGGAAGAGAAAATGGCAGCAGACGTTGAGGAATATAAAGGACAGGAACCTAAAGTAAGGTTTTTAGCCAAGGCATGGAACACCCTGATATTGACATTACAAAAGTGAGTGAAAGGGCTGAAGAGAGGCATCAGGTAAAAGCCCCAAATAGTTTCAAAAATGCATTTAATAACTTACTTACATAGCCTAGTATTAATAAACTAAAGACATTTTGCCTTTAGGCTACTTGCAAACATGATTTGTTTTTTTTTTCCCCCACACATTGTTGAATATTTTTTACTAAATTATATCTCTGTGTTACTGTACACTAACACATTATATATGCTGTTAAATGTTAATATAATATTAAAATGATTATTAATCTGTTATTATATGTTGTAAAAAGTATTTCTCATGTGTTTAATGTTTCATTTTAACTTAATATAGTGTCCCACTTTATCTAACAAAGTGTCCCACTCAACCTGATTGCTTCCAGTTTGCCGAAGAGGGTGACAGATGATGTTTAAAGATAAACAATTTGATAATAAATCAATAAATTGGCTTAATTTCACCATAGATGTCTTCACAACAACCTATTTTAAAAAAACTACATACAATTTTAATACATTCTAACTGATTTGGGATGTTTAAAAGGCAATTTACCAAACTTTACCTGACTTCACCCTAGGCCTAACTCATTATTTAAAGTTTTATAGTTTCGGGTTACTTTTACTTACCTCAAGTGCAAGTTAGGACGAAGACAAGTACAAACCAAAATGAATAGTCAACAAGAGAGAGCTTCACAGAGATTTCCATGTTTGCTTCACCTCACACCAGGCTGTGTCTCTGATCTCAATCTTGATCTTTCCGACTGTCTAGCTTGTCTGCACGCCTTCTCCGAGCTTAAATCCGACATTATTTACAATTTCTGTGACAATTCTGTGTCCAGGACACCGACCACAAGATCTGTCTCATTCTCATTCTTCCCGGCACCAAAGATCCCTCCACATTTTCACCCTGGGTCCCCTGGTGGATTCTTGCCCTCTCATGAATCACATTAAATTAATTTACCGCTTTCCTCCCAACTAACACAACACGGTCCACGCAAGCACTTCCTCGTCTTTGTCGAGCTCGGTCGCCGTTCTGTAGCTGGATCCTCCGCCTCCACTCAGGCCAGAACTCCCGATGACTGAAATCAAAGTTGTCCGGCGGTGGGAACGTCGCCATGGTCGACTTCTTACAATATACAATGTTTAAAGACCAGTCTGTGCGAGTATTCTCAAAATACTGACATTACAAACGTTGCGTAGACATGGATTGTATAAATAGCATATAGGACGGGTCACACACACTCTTTATAAAAGAACACGCCCCAAATCAGTCCGTGCTGACGTCAAAGTAGTCCAATCCCAGCTCTCCCTTCTTGCTTGTGTGGACCTAAAGTCCAGGCTAATTGCCTAATCCATTTTACATCTTCTTGAATGTGTTATTGTACTACTATACAAAATAGTCAAGTTAAACTAGAAAAGAAACTTACTGGCTAACAGCACTCATAGTTTCAGTTTTCTGTTTGAGCACACATGAAAACATAAAACAGTCATGTTGTCTCCATTCACCCCAATGAAAATAACGTACCTTAATATAATTAATATCCTAGATTTCAGTCTAATCAACACAACATTTGCTAATACAACAGCACATATGCGCCAAACTTACTAAACACTGTGAGGAAGTGGTGGAAAAGGTTGAGGGCAGGTTAATTGTTCCTGCCACAAATATCTTAAAGAGGAAGAGTTTTATCTAACAAACTGTACCTTCTGACAAAAGCTGCCATGTTTGGTTTCCAAACGGTTTGTGACAAAAAGTGCAGTCTATTCCCGTTTTTGGACCAACAGATCCCAGTACAGAGGAACCTTTTGAAACATTTTGAAAGACATTAACAAAGATTTTGCCTACTGTTTTTTTTTTTAATCTTCTTCCTAAACTTCTCGGCAGACATAATTTTCATTATTAACTTGAATAATATTTTAGCTAGATTTTAAATCCATAAAAATATAGGGCTTACAATATTACCCTCCTTTTAAATTTTTGCCCATTTGTGCCAATATGAGCGCCTTAAAGAATATTAAATCAGTGGCCTAATAAAAAGGACTCACACTTACCTGTAACAGTTTCTGCAAACAGTATAATACAGAGCAGCTTTACATGTGTCCCTTCCATGATCAACTCAATCAGTCTAAAAGCAGCTCCAAACATAAGGCTCTCAATGAGAATGTTTCATGCTGTTTTCTGACTTTCTTTTCTTCATATGGGAGTGGGGGCAGGACCGTGGAAAGAGGGGAGGGGACTGTGAGCACAGACAGAATCACCTTCCAGGCAGAAAAGGATGTTCCCAACATTTATTTGCACTTAGATAGTGAAACATTGCAGCTATGTTTCCTAGTTGTTTTATATCAATGTGTCGCTTTAAAGTCATCTTGTTGATCGTCATGTCCCGTGCCACCTGATGAATGGACGTCCCATTCTGTAGGCTACCTCTCCCACTACTCTGTCCAAATCCAAAAGAGGTGTTGAAGCCTGTCTGTCTTATATATGATTTCTGGTCTTAACTGCATATTGTCACATCATTTCAGTAATGCATAAGACCGCAATGTAAAATTACAGTAAAAAAAAAAGTAACTTTAATCATTTTTTAACCTTTTTGAGCCTCAAAAAGGTACATGCATGTACCTTGAGGTCCAATAATAAGCCCTATGGGGTACATTAGTCTAAATTGTACCTTGGGGGACAGAAATGGACTCCTACTGTACCCCTATTTCTGACAGTGTAGAGAATAATATTGACCTACTAGCACATAGGCCTACTACATACAGGGTAGTTCTCCAAGTGTCTGAGATAGCAATGCTCAGATAAACAGTCCAGTCACATGTAAACATAAAATAACTGGTCTCAGTAAGAGTCAAAGTAGTTCCCTATCTTACACAAACTCAGTAAACTGGAACTTTAAAACTTTCTCAGGTTTTACATTTCAGTCTGTTTCTGTGCAATATTTCAGAAGGATTCTCTGCAAATAAGATGATAAATACACTTTCTGAGTCATCTCTCTTCCTGAGACTTCCCTTGTACTTGGCCTTGGTTTCTCCTCCCCTTCTCCTCTTGTTTGTTCTCTCTCTCTCTCTCTCTCTCTGTCCCCTCCTCGGTCTTGTTTCCTCTCTCTCTCCGAGTTGGTTGCTCTCTCTCTCTCTCTCTCTCTCTCTCTGACTGTACCCAACCATCACAGCAGCATTTCAGATGACAACAAACAGATGCCTCTTAAAATGGGTAAGGGAAACAAACCAACAAACATAAATAAGTTAGCCTGCTGACAGAAGGTGATTGTGAGGCAAGGAAACGTTGCCCTGGTACAGACACTAATGGTTTTATGTTCATTCTGTTCAGTTCAAGAACTCGATCACTTTCATTGATAAACAAGAGAGACAGCAAATAAATCTGAGAGGGTCCTAAAGGACAGAGTATAAGATTTTGTCCCAGGGTCCATCTGACAGGATTTTAGCTTTTAGATTATTTCTTTATTACAGAAAGTGCACAAAAACTATGACCAATACAGCCACCATACCTTCTGTCATTGGTGATGGTTGAGTCCTAGTCGGGGTTTCTCCACAAAGGTATGACTCACAGAAAGACAAGAGACCTCTGACGCTTCATTATATACTGAGGAACGTTTCATTAGTCATCTCTGGCAGGACTAAGGAAAAGGAACTTTATTTTGCTGATGATACTTTTGTTCTTAAATACAAGACTATAGCACTTCCACCACATGTCATGTGAGAGATTAAAGTTACATCATAAGGTGAGGGACAATCAGACGCGCTGACAGCTACAGTTTGTAAATACGACTCATATTACTGTCAGAGGAAAACTATTATCTGAAATAATCTGACTTTGATTAACAGTATTTTCACCCCCTTTAGAAGTTTTCATGTTTTATTGAATCCTAGATTTAATTTGACTTTTCAACGCTGTTACATGAAAACGACCGTCCAGGTTCAGGTGTGTTTATACTACAATCAGCTGAAACCACATGGCTGCACACAGGTGATCTCCACTTAATGACGTGACTTCTGAAACAGACTGTCTGCACCTGTGATCATTTAGGTCTGTCCTGTTAAAGGCTGTGAATACAACATGTATTTTATGTTTGTTAAACATTTTGATCATTTTGTTGTTCTGTTTTCACTGTGACTTTAAATCTGCTTTGATTCAATGTTGTAAAACAATAAAACATGTTCCACCGTGGTTAATACTTCTTACAAGTGCTGAATATTTGAGATACTAGTACTTCACATAAGTAGTAATATTTTGTTAAACTATACTTTTCTCCATATAGTATAGTTTATATATATATTTTTTTGTTAAACTAAACTTTTCTTCAGGGCGGCGCGGTGGTGCAGTGTTTAGCACAGTCACCTCACAGCAAGAAGGTTGTGGGTTCAAACCCCGGTTGCCCCGGCCTTTCTGTGTGGAGTTTGCATGTTCTCTCCGGGTGCTCCGGCTTCCTCCCACCATCCAAAGACATGCAGGCTACGTTAATTGGTGACCGTTGTCCTTAGGTGTGCACGTGAGTGGTTGTCTCTCTATGTGTGGCCCTGCGATGGACTGGCGACCTGTCCAGGGTGTACCTTGCCTTTCGCCTGATGTCAGCTGGGACTGGCCCCAGCCCCCCCACGACCCTGTATGCGGGATAAGCGGTTGACGATGGATGGATGGTATTGTTGTGTTACTTTTGACCCACCTGTGTGTTACCTTTGTCCCAGCTGAGGGGGTCGAATGTAACAATGTGCCACTTATTTAAAGGGAAATTATACGGAAGTCGTTCTACATTTGTACAAAATACCATCTGATATTGATAGACCACACCTGTTAGTGACCACAGCAAAAATATATCTCTGTCTGAAACATTATCTTTTAAAATCAGGTTTTTCTGAAAAATGGTACTTTCGCCCCTGCTCTCCCCTTGTTGAAGTACAACGACTTCCCCAAGTTGTTTGATGGAAAAGGACTTAGAGGAGACTGATTTAAACCACACCTTTATTAATACAGATATATCTGGAGACCTTCCTGCGCGCTACCTAAGTAAGGGTCTGACTGCTCTTCCGCTAAGCTGTGTATGTGTTGATGAGACATCACCCAGCTGCACATCCCATGTTACCTTATATGGAAGTTGTCAATAGGTGTAGAATATTTCTAGTGTGCCTTAAGGGCTGTCATGTGAGTGTGTGTGTGACTGTATTCAGAAAAGTGTGAAGTGTGTCAGCGTGTATTATGGTCAGGGCCCGGTTTCCTGTTGTTCAGCACAAGGGGTTGTGTTGTATATCCACACCCTATGTGTTTCTGAAAGCATTTGACTCGCGAAAAAAATTGGCTGAGTCACTCTTTCTCTGTGCATAGGGTGTGGTGACTGAGAGTTTGTGAGTGATTTCCAACTTTTTTTCCCCACGCCTACGTTTTTACTGTATGATCGTAGGTCCTAAACTGACTTTGGTTTTAATTAATTTTTTATTCTGGGCAGCGAGGCTAGCAGGTTGGAAGACCAGGAAGAGTCAGATGTTGGGTCAGGGCCAGACGGATGTGGTGCAGAGTCTGGTTGCGGCTCGTAGAGCACGCTTTTTACACACTGACTAGTAATCTGGAATCATATAATCATTCATTCTCTGAAAATCAGCCGATAAATACATCTCAAACCCATACAAGATTATAAATCTGACATCAGCCACAAACATTAAACTTAAAGAATATGAAATCAGTAAGAAGAGAAAAATAAACCTAACTGTTACTGCAGTAAACAGATCAATACTCAGGAGCTTCAGTTCCCTTCCATCATGAAGTTATTGCAGTTATTAATCGTGCACTAGTTTTCTCCACCAAGCTGCACCATGCTGGTCCCCATATAGACCTGTTCCAGATGACTGCAGAAGTCTGCCTCATAGACTTTATTCTTTGTCTTCTCTACTGCTATCTGGCAGCAGCCAGCCCTGCGACCTGCGCTGATACCACATACTTATTGAAAGAGGGACGGAGAGCAACGTGTTGAGACTCTCCTGTGGAGATTTCGTGAGCACTGAGTCCCTCTACTGGGTTCAGAAGCTGCTTTATTTTTGAGAGGCTGTGTTTTTAAATCTTTGTATGACCTGCGTTATAACCCATCTCTATCAAGGACTGTTTAGAACCTGGATTCTTTTTAAGTGGTGCAGACTGGAACACACAGCCTCACTGTTTGGGCCCCTGGAGGAGCCTTTAATCTATGGTTGGGGGACCCTTTCCCTGAGATGGGTCTCAAAATGGGCTGAACTGGATCAACAGGACCCTTGCTGGTCTCTGATTCTGCTGCTAAAATGGACCTATTTGTGTTAAACAGGGTGAACAGGCTCTGAGAGGAAAGATGCAGAAAAGTAACAACTTCTAAAGTTTGTAGTGGGACAAGATAAATGATTTGGTGAAACTCAGAGTCCAGGTGGATTTCAGATTCTTTTCCCTGATGAAAACACTGTGGAATTTATTTCACAGAGGTGTTTCTCTACATTTGTTCAGTCGTTGAGAGGGAGCTGGAAACACTTCTTCTGAGTCTAACAAAACACTGATGATCAGATGGTTTTCTAACTGATTCCTTGTGCTCTTCAGCTAATCACAGGTCAAATATCATTTTACTTAAAAAGCCAATAGCTCATGGAATAAAATACCTCATGCTGTCACATTGTGGGTGTGTCTGCTCTGTTTTGGTTCTCAGTCATGTTATTCGTAGTCTTGTTAGTATGTTTTGGGTTCTGTCCTGTCTATTGCCCGGTGTCCAGTATCTGTTATATAGTTAGTCTGTGTTTTGAGTTTCAGTTATTTCTTGTGTCCAGTTACTCTGTGTGCTTGTGCTGGTTGGTCTGTTACGGTCTGTGTGTGGTTGTGGGGTTATGATCCGGTTAGTTTTGACCTTTCTGCTTTAGTTTCCGTGTAGCCTTGTTTATTATTTTATTCATCCATTTAAGTTTACCTAGTATGTGTCTTGTATTTTAGGATTAGCTCTCTGTCTTTGCGCCTCATTCTGTGTCTCGGTTCATGTCTGTGTTTAGTGTTCAGTAACCTTTGTTGTGTCTGTTACCCCGGTAATCCCTCTACATGTGAGTCTCTCTGTTTTCCCCCGCTCTCTCTCTCGACCTGCCTGTGTCTCATTAGTCTCATGTCCCTCACATGTGTACTCCCTCCCAGCTTGTTAACCCTGTGTATATATCCTTGCTTGTTTCCCCTTAGTCTTTGTCTGATCATTGTCGCATGTATGCTCAGTTGGTTGTCTGTTCTGCAAGTTGCTACTTTCCCGTTCTGTTTTTGGATGTACCAGTTCCCTGTACCCGTGAGTTTTTGTTCATGCCTGTCTGTCTAGCCCTGGATTAAATACTCTGGAACTAGACCTCTGCTCTCTCTGTCACGTCTTTAGGCTCTCACCTGCTCTGCGCACCCAGCAAACGTGACGCATGCACCTGTTTGTCTCACCTGTAAGGACGTAAAAATAAAGTATATCTTCTTAAAACCGCCGCCTCGAGGGAAGCAAATTAAACTCGCTATAAAAAAGCTGCTAGGAGTCCAATGATGAATTTATTCTTAATTCAAATAATGCTTTAAGAGTCAAAGTGCTTCACAAATAGGATACAAGACAAGTTTAAATACACATACAGTACATCAGCAACCACATATACACATACATTACACATGATACACAGAAAGATTAAGGCACAATAAACAAAACTTAAGGCAAACAGTGTTTTATAGAAGGCCAACCTGTAGAGTTTCAGCAGAGTGCAATGAAGGTAAAGAGAAGTTCCAGTCTAAACAAGAACAGATTAGGATGAGCACAAGAAGTTTCATGTGTTTGGCTTAAAATGTAGGTTTGGTTTACTGAACGAGTGTAGTGATGAGGGGTTCACATAAAGACTAGGTGAGCCTACTATCACCTGAATAATATTTCAAGGATTAAAGGACTTATGTCTCAGCAGGACCTGGAAAAACGTGTCTATACATTTATCTTCAAAACGACTCGACTGCTGTAACGGTGTCTTTACAGATCTCCCTAAAACCTGAATCAGACAGCTGCAGCTGATTCGAGTCCTCACTAAGACCAGAAAAGTGGATCAGTCCAGTTCTGAGGTCTTTACACTGGCTTCCTGTCTGTCAAAACTAAACCTGGAGAAGCAGTGTTCAATTTCTATTCTCCATATCTGGAACAAACTCCCAGAAAACTGCAGGTCTGCTGAAACTTTCAGTTCTTTTAAAATCAAGACTGAAGACTTTTCTTTTATCACTGCCACTAATTAAACCAAACAATGCTGTAGATTAATAACTTGAACTGTAACTTTAACTGTCCCGTTTTAAATTTCTAATTGTCTATTAACATTAGTTTGTTAACTTTATATTTCTCTATGTGGCTTTTAAGTTTTAGTTAAAACGCTTTGAATTACCTTGTTGTTGAAATGTGCTATACGAATAAACGTTATTGAGGTCATTCCCTGAGAAGCGAAGCTGTGCGTTATCGCCATAGCAATGTTCAGAGACACCAGTGGAGTCGACCCAGAGGTCGCATCTACAGAGAAAACAGAACAGGTCCAAAGATCGCCCCCTTGTGGGACACCAGAGTAATTGTTAATGTAAACAGTGAACTTTCTGTCAGATGAGTTTGAGATGAACCGTTTGAGTGCAGCTCCAGAGAAACCAACTCAGTTTAGTATCTGTCAGTAAGATGACCTGAGGTTCTGTGTGACTGAAAATTGGTAAAGATAACTTACACCAGTTTCAGGCTAACTTTGGTATCTTTCAATCTTTGTTCTTGTGTATAGCACCGTCCCTCATGTACATGAATTTATGGATAAGAGCAACAGACACGATTAATATTAAAAAGGATGAAAGGTTGCTGATTTTTGGAGGGCTGACAATTAAACAAATATTCTTTAAAGAAAATGACCTGATGGTTTGGGCCATCACTTTACTACTTGCACATTGTTCAAGTTGCCTGCATCGGGGTCACTGTTTGTTGATGAAGTCCTCAGATGTTTCAGCTCACAGCCGTTTGCCGCCTCCGACTTTTGCTCCCCCTGTCCTCTGAGCCTCGTCATACTTTTCTCTGAGAACATCAGAATCAGAAGGAGCTTTATTGCCAAATAGTGTTTTACACATACGAGGAATTTGCTGTGGTGATAAGGTGCAACACGTAGACAAGCATACAGTCGACATAAATAAATGTAGAAATATATAAATATGGAATGGAAGAACAACGTTGCAGATTTATACATGTGCATTATTCTGGGTCTGTGCCGTGCAGAAGTAACATATTTCCTATTCTTTAATCTCAGCTCCTGTAGTTTCTAACAGCAACAAACCCGCTCACACAGCAGGTCTTTAACTGATACTAAAAGTCAGTGGGGGAGAGTTTGTTCTGTAACTTACGGATCGTTCCACGTTTCACCAGAACCACAATCAGAACTCCAAAAAGAAGGACAACAGTGGAAATGATAACAGCGCGGGCAGTCTCTCTGTTTCTACCATCTGGAGGAGATATCAGAGGATACTGAATTGAGAACCAGCACAGACTCATTATGATATTTATTCCACTATTTATTTACTTATTTCACTAATTCATGTTTGGTGTACAGCTCATGCAGCATTTTCTCATTACTTGTAGTGGTGTTCAACCACACTGATGGTTTTATTTGTCCTGGTTTTGAGATTTCTGTCCCCAAGACATCTGCCTCACCACAATACAGTGGAGGACAAGTAGTAATCCTAATTATCCAGAGCAACCCATAATCCACAGATCTTAATGATGCTGTAGTGACGATCGAACGGGAAATAAGAACATTGACACGCATGGCTGTATTTTGAAAGCAGATATCTTCTAGCAGTCAGACAAAGGGACCCGGCTGTATGTTTGAGTGGCTCGTAGTGGATAAGGTGCTAAATTAAATTATTATTTCACTTCTTCCTAACTCCACAAAACCAGATTTCATCTTCGGACTTGTAGTTTTCACCCGCAACTGACACCAACTCTAGTGACATCATGTGAGGACATTTATCTTTATATTTATCCTTTATGAAAATGCCTGCGTTTTAAAATTAAACTGTAGTAGTGTGGATGTAGCCTGAGACATAAAAGTCTTCATACTACTTTTCACCTACGCAGTAGTACTTCCTAACACTGTAAACATGGATGTGTAAAAATCAGTGGAGTTCTGTAAAACTGTTCTGCCACATTACTGTTCCCAGTGTCAAGAGTGACCCTCCATGATCAGCCACAAACAGGTTCAATGTTATGTTATTACTGAGCTGATTATTATAATTAGAGATTCCCCAAACCTGGTTTTCCCCGCCAATACGTTTATTTATTTGTGGCAGCAAACCACAATATCAACGCTGACTGCCACATTTGATTTTAGTTTTAACCATATTTACACTACTGCACCATAAATTGGTGGAATCGTATTCGGTTATAGAGCTGGAAGCAGTGCATAGATTAGCTCAGCCCCTCCTCTTGCTCTCTCTCACAAAACACATGGACAAGGGACCCGTCTGAATAGCCCCTACTCTTCACGCACAAACTGAATGAAACACCGCTCCACAAATTTTTCTTAACACAACACTGTCAATCTCACAGAGCCACCTTTAAATAAGTTATTAGTCAGCATGTAAGGATCCGAGCTAATAAGGATCGCTATGTTAACGTTGGGTTGTCGAGGTTTGCACGCTGTACATAGCTGCTAGTCGATCGACTGCTCATGCAATAATGCCAAATCTACCCGTCCAAGTCAAGTCCCTGTGGGAAACACTAGCTGTTCAACTCTAAAAAATTCTTCTTGTTCTTAAAGACAATTAAATAACAAACTAAAAAAAACAACCTAATTTCACCATCAAGTAATTTACCAGTGTTGTGTGGCTCATCCAGTGGAGGTCTGGGCGCGCTGTAATCATCTCTCTGTGTCGTGTTCTGCTGGTCTTTGCTCACTGATTAAAAAAAGAAAACAGACTAAGATATTTTCAAATACTCAAACAAAAAGGGACCAGCTGTGTGCTCATGAAGGATAAAGGTGCTAAATTAACAGATTACAGCTGTTATTTCAATCTGACATACACATTAAATTTAAATCTTGTGGATCTCTTTGCACAAGAAAATCTATCAGATCAGACTCAGTGGAGTATTAAAGGACTCAAATCAGGGTCAAAAACTCCCCAATTCTTAAAACTGTATGAACTCGGCATGCTCACCAACAGTGACATTAACACCACAGCTGGTCCACAGTCTTGAGACAAAGCATTCGTATGGTCCACTGTCAGACGGCTGTAGTGAGGAGATCTGTAGTGCCATGTTTCCTCTTATCAGGTTGTCAAAGTTGAAAGTTGTCCTGCCTTTGTATTGAGCCATCTGGTCATTGCGATTTTCCTGCTTGTGTCGGTACGAGTAGACGACCTTTTTGAGGTCAGCTCTTTTCCAATCGGCAGCATAATCCACTACGCTGTGCGGGGGATCCAGATAACAGGGTAGAGTGACCGCATCACCTTCCACCGCCTCAATTGTCGGATTCGGGCAAATGGCACGAGGCTCTCCTGGAGAAACAAACATCACATTTACACAACTTGATCACCTCTGAGGGAAAGCCATCTTTTCAAACATTTAAAAACACAGTTTGTTTTATTTAGTGATGCAACAATTCCTGAAATGTGAAAGTGCTGCTCCACCTTGTTTAACTCTGCTCTATAATCACATTTCAGGAGGTTTGATATCCCTAACAAGCATCTGCAACTCTCCACATCTCCAAAATATCAAACATTAATCTTTTTGGATTGTATTTGTTCAGTGACAGAGTACCAGTAGTGTATATGGATACACACATGTAGGAAGGTTAAATTTTAAGAATTTATAGATTCTAATATATCTTATATTCAGTGCTGATATCGGGCTGTATTTTTTGTTGACCGTGGTATTCTTTATAGTTTTTGATCATTGTGATTATTTTGAATATACATTTTTCACATTATAGTAAGTTGCATATTTTCGTCAATAAAAAGCAATAGATTATATTTTGAGAGCCGCGAATTATTGGTGCAGCGAGTCAGACAAACAGCAGCACAAGGCCCTACCTCAGCCTCTCAGCGACTACTTTGTTTTTGCTTTAAGTATAGTCGCTACATTTACTGTACATCACATTAATCATCTTCTACAGCTGTTAGATAAACACTCCTGGTTTTCACTTCAGAAACATAAAAAGTTTCTAGCTGGCCTCTGATGCAGTATTTAGCCACATAAAACTGAACCACCGCAGGCTGCTGGAGTCCCCTGTAAGTAAGAAGTAGGCCTACTTTACAACACAGTAACATATATACATACAGTACGTCCCTGATAATATTATATTTCCTGGACCTGTTAGTAAGTAAAAGTGAAAGCATAAATATAATCTTTAACAGTTGGTTATTTAAGAACTATGTAGTTTGTCTGTCCTCCTTGTGTTCTCATCTGTTGCCCGCCACTGTAGGCAAGATATTATGTGATCATTGTGGAATAAAACCACAGCAAATGTATATACTGCTACCTAGAAGTCATTACCCCATCTTCTAATAAAGATCTGGCTGTGTTGCTCGGTAGAGATCACACCGTATCACAATCACCCGGTACCCCGCACACAGGTTGCACCAAAGAGAAGGTGTATTCCACCATTTTGTAGTTTTGTTTGCGTCATTAAAATAATCAAAACAAATCAAAACGCAAAATCAAACGATTAGCGTCGTGTCCTAAGTCTTTCTGATTGTTTGTCACTCAGAGAAATACAGTAGTTTTCGGGTTCAGTGATTTAATGACATCTAAGTGTCGTCTGTGCAGCAATGCACCGCTATGCTAGCTAACCTGCTAAAAGTTTTTAACAATCCTGTAAACTAGTCTGTGTTAGCTGACAACATACCAATGTTACTAACCTAAAAAGATGTCACTGACTGCTGTCACCAAAAAACACAAGGAACTGTAACTTGTGGTGTGTCTTTAAATGCTTTTGCTATCGTTGTAGTGATGAGAATTTGACCCTTGTGTGTCTGTTTTGATGCAGTTATCTTCCAGTAAAGTTCAGTGAGCGCTCAGGTGTAAAGGCTATTGTGAACACATATTTATCTTTCTAGGCCTGCTTTCAAATGACTTCCTTTGAAGTAATGCCTATTCAAAGAAAAGTTACCTGCCCCTCTCCCTGGATTTAATACATACTACATGTTTTGTTGAATGCAAGCGGTCGCCTTGTATACAGAAGCTATTTTGCACTTTTGGCCACAGAAACCTTCTCATATTAGAGTTAAACGGTAGGCCTACACTATAATGTTTCTGAAATCTGATATCTAGTACAGAAATGCTAACTAAGGGTAAAACGTCTTTAAGCAGCCTGGTCTGGATGGGGTCTTAGAGGCAGGTTGATGGTTTACACCTAAGTTGTGCAGTGTCTTATCCACTGCGCTATCGCCAACCCCATAGTTTCAGTTTTCTATGATGGATGACACATGAAAAATATGATAGTTCAACACTGTCTCTACTCAAGAATAAAAAATAACAAAAATCTAATCAACAAAACATATGCCCTATAGTTAGCCTACTGAAAACTGTGAGGGAGCGGTGGAAAAGGTGGAGGGGAGATTAACCAAGTGGAGAAGTTGCTGCCTTAAATATCTTAGAGTTTCAACCATCAATAACGACCTCTGCCTTCTGGGACAAGCTGTCATGTTTGGAAGCCCCCACCGGATTGTGACAAAAAGTGTCGTCTACTATGGTGATTTGTTTTTGAGACAGCCTGCACTGGTTACCACAGACCTACAGAAAGATGGAGGGAGGACTTAGTCTACAGAGCAGCAGAGTTTAGACTCATGAAGACTGTTTTATTATGATCTGAGCTTTGTGACATGGTGCATTATACTGGAAGCATAGGAACTGAGAAGTGGTCTGTGGTCACCACCTGCAGAACCACTCCTTTATTGGGGGTGTCTTGCTAATTGCCTATAATTTCCGCCTGTTGTCCGTTCCATTTGCACAACAGCGTGTGAAATTGATTGTCAGTGTTGCTTCCTAAGTGGACAGTTTGATTTCACAGGAGTGTGATTGACTTGGAGTTACATTGTGTTGTTTAAGTGTTCCCTTTATTTTTTTGAGCAGTGTACATGTCATAGGCCTACTCATACAAGATTTTAAATCTGACATCAACCTGAAACATGCCCAAAAGAGGCATAAAGGATTATTAAAGAAGAATATTCATCAGTAAGAAGACAATAAACTTAGGTTATCAAAATACAGAGGAGCGTTAGGCCTACAAGTGTCCCTTCATTATCAAGTCAATGCAGAGTAAACGCATCTAGTTTGTGATCACACTGGCTCACCATTAATCATCTAGAGCAGAAAAAACTTCGGTCTGAGAATGAGTGTAAGACCAAACTGACTCAGCTAAGTACTCTCAGACACACACACAATGCGTTCATATTTTACAAATGACACATAGCTATAAAACACTGAACCAGACAAAAACAGTGAGCTCACATTTCAAAATGCTTTCTAACTTGGTGGTTCATGCTCAATAAGCTGATAAAATACAGTGGGGAAAAGGCGACCACTCAAACACTCTACTAGGGCTAAATTACATATTAGACTGAAATAGAGAATAATATTGACCTAATAAAATAGCACAATAGAGGGTAGATCTCCAAGTGTCTGAGACTAATGCTCAGATATACGGTCCATTCACATGTAAACATAAAATAACTGGGATTAAAATGATCTTCCAGTCAGTCAGATCTGAAGAAGTCTCTTGGATGAGGGATGAAACGTCTTTTAGTATCTTCTAAAACAGAAGTGTAAATTGCACTTCTAGAAAATACCACAAAGCCCAAATGCTTCATAAGACTTAAACCTCCCATCACTAGATTTAACACGTACAAATATAAAATGGTCAATGTGTCTGAAAATAAAGTTATAGCCTATACATTATGCAATCTAATCAATACCATGAGCAAACACAGCAGCGCTTTTTGTGATAAAAAAATTGCACTTTTTTCAAAAAAGACAGTGATCCCAGTTCATGCTGAATGAGCTGTTCCCCTCAGTAAAACTACTACAGGGGGGAAAGTCTGTTGCACAAATGCCTGCATATTAGACTGAAACTGCATAGATAATAATATAATACTATGTAGTGCACCAAAAGTTTGAGATCATTGTTCAGATCTACAGTACAGTCACATGTTAACATATAATAACTGGACTGTCTTGGACAAACGTAAAACTTTATTTTCATTCACACAATATTTCAGAATGACTTCTTGGCAATTAAGCCAATAATAGATCTCAAACTCATACAAGATTATAAATCTGATATCAACCACAAAGTAGGCTTAAATAATATCAAATCAATAAGGAGAGAACAAAAAACTTACCTGTGACAGTTACTGTAAACAGTAAAATCCTCAGGAGCTTCTGTATCCCTTCCATTATGAAGTTATTGCAGAGTAAATAATTGTGCACCAGCTTTCTCCGCCAAGCTACGCCGTGCTGGCCCAGAAATCTTTCATGATTTCACCTGCAGCCGCATACCCAAAGTAATTTCTGCAAGGGTGTGGTTACCCTCATGACCACACCCTTGCAAGGGACTTGTCTTGCAAGGGTGTGGTCATGAGGGTGTTGTGTGGGTTTTTGTATCTTCCTCCAAATGATCCAGATAAAGTATTTTTGCTTGGAGTGATAATTTGGTTTACTGTAAGTGTTGTTTGTAAAGCAGTGCTGCCTTGAGGAAGTTGAGTGTGGCATGTTGCAAAATTTGTTAGTCTCATGCTGTTTCTCAATACCGAGTTTGCCAAGTTCGGACTTCTCTACTTTAAAGCTCGGACTTGGCAAGTTCGGCTCGGGAACGGGAGCACGCAGTCAGTCATTCAGCCAGACCCGTTAGCGGGCAGAACCTCACATCTCTGAAAACGTCATAACAAATTTTTCAAATCAGCTCTGTCTGTTTAAACAACTATATTCCCGCATAAAACCTCTTAAAACTACTATATGTGACACAAGAACAGCAGTATTATAAGTTACAGTTGTGAGTTTTCTCATCCAACATTTCCGCAAATGCATTCTGGGAAATCTGGCTATCCGAAGTCCCCACAAGTCATCACCGATGCAGGCTGGGTAAAGCGGGCGGGGAGAGAACACATCCGGGTATTTGACTGGACGTTTGAATTGGAACAACAGTACTTTGGCTACTACTGATGAAGTTTCACAAGTCCACAAGAACACAAGTACAGACAAGAACGCAGATTGAGAAACAGCTTATAGCTCTCTCTCTCTCACACACACATTAACACATGCACACTCAACTCAATTGGCATGACATTTAAGTCTGAATATGTTGCCAAACAGAAAGTGAAAATGTCACTCTCTTTCTCTCCAACTCCACTTGTGCTCTTAGCTTAATACATTTCCCTGAAGCTGCACCCTTCCACAAGTATTAATTATCAAGTCAATTGTAAAAGCAGCGTGTTGATGATCACAAATAGATGGAGGGGAGGTTAACTGGTTAACTCATTTAGTTAACCAGCCACAAATATCTGACAGTGGAAGAGTTTTAACCATCAATAACGACCTCTACCTTCTGGCACAAGCTGCCATGTTTGGAATCCCCCATTGTCACAAAAAGTGCCGTCTATTCTAGTGATTTGTTTCTGAGACAACCTGCTCTGGGTACCACAGACCTACCAAAAGAGGGAGGGAGGGCTTAATGCGAGACCTGCAGTGAATCTCTACTCTCTCTGTCATCAGATTGAGCTGAGCTGAGCATCTCTTGGTCTGTCTGTGTTTGGCTCCTTTTCAGACTTTTGTCCTAACAATGTTAGTGCAACACAACTTTTTTTTTTTTTTTGATAAAACACCATAAGGCAAATGTGTTCAGAAACTGCACCTTGGAGACATACGCTCACACACCCAAGCACGACATGAAACAAAACCGCAACATTACTGGCACCAGTCCAGGCACCAGATTCCAGTCTACCGTCTACAGTGATTACCTATTTCTTAGTCAAGGTTCATGCACAACTCTGGACTAATGCCAGATGGAATTGACATTGATTGAATATTAAAATGTTTAACATTGGAGCAATATGGATGCACATTTATCAGTAAATAATAAGCATCACATATTCAGCCCAGTTGTGCTATATACAGTGGGTACGGAAAGTATTCAGACCCCTTTAAATTTTTCACTCTTTGTTTCATTGCAGCCATTTTCCAAAAATCAAAAAAGTTCATTTTATTTCTCAGTAATGTACACTCAGCACCCCATCTTGACAGAAAAAAACAGAAATGTAGAAATTTTTGCAAATTTATTAAAAAAGAAAAACTGAAATATCACATGGTCATAAGTATTCAGACCCTTTGCCGTGACACTCATATTTAACTCAGGTGCTGTGTATTTCTTCTGATCATCCTTGAGATGGTTCTACACCTTCATTTGAGTCCAGCTGTGTTTGATTATACTGATTGGACTTGATTAGGAAAGCCACACACCTGTCTATATAAGACCTTACAGCTCACAGTGCATGTCAGAGCAAATGAGAATCATGAGGTCAAAGGAACTGCCTGAAGAGCTCAGAGACAGAATTGTGGCAAGACACAGATCTGGCCAAGGTTACAAAAAAATTTCTGCTGCACTTAAGGTTCCTAAGAGCACAGTGGCCTCCATAATCCTCAAATGGAAGACGTTTGGGACGACCAGAACCCTTCCTAGAGCTGGCCGTCCGGCCAAACTGAGCTATCGGGGGAGAAGAGCCTTGGTGAGAGAGGTAAAGAAGAACCCTAAGGTCACTGTGGCTGAGCTCCAGAGATGCAGTCGGGAGATGGGAGAAAGTTGTAGTAAGTCAACCATCACTGCAGCAATCCACCAGTCGGGGCTTTATGGCAGAGTGGCCCGACGGAAGCCTCTCCTCAGTGCAAGACACATGAAAGCCCGCATGGAGTTTGCTAAAAAACACCTGAAGGACTCCAAGATGGTGATAAATAAGATCCTCTGGTCTGATGAGACCAAGATAGAACTTTTTGGCCTGAATTCTAAGCGGTATGTGTGGAGAAAACCAGGCACTGCTCATCACCTGTCCAATACAGTCTCAACAGTGAAGCATGGTGGTGGCAGCATCATGCTGTGGGGGTGTTTTTCAGCTGCAGGGACAGGACGACCGGTTGCAATCGAGGGAAAGATGAATGCGGCCAAGTACAAGGATATCCTGGACGAAAACCTTTTCCAGAGTGCTCTGGACCTCAGACTGGGCCGAAGGTTTACCTTCCAACAAGACAATGACCCTAAGCACACCGCTAAAATAACGAAGGAGTGGCTTCACAACAACTCCGTGGCTGTTCTTGAATGGCCCAGCCAGAGCCCTGACTTAAACCCAATTGAGCATCTCTGGAGAGACCTGAAAATGGCTGTCCACCAACGTTTACCATCCAACCTGACAGAACTGGAGAGGATCTGCAAGGAGGAATGGCAGAGGATACCCAAATCCAGATGTGAAAAACTTGTTGCATCTTTCCCAAAACTACTCATGGCTGTATTTGATCAAAAGGGTGCTTCTACTAAATACTGAGCAAAGGGTCTGAATACTTATGACCATGTGATATTTCAGTTTTTCTTTTTCAATAAATTTGCAAAAATTTCCACATTTCTGTTTTTTTCTGTCAAGATGGGGTGCTGAGTGTACATTACTGAGAAATAAAATGAACTTTTTTGATTTTTGGAAAATGGCTGCAATGAAACAAAGAGTGAAAAATTTAAAGGGGTCTGAATACTTTCCGTACCCACTGTATAGTATTTTATATTTGAAACTGTATTAAAGGAATCCTGGGGGAGCCAGTCTGAATGTGCCTGATGCAGCTGATAACAATTATATCTAGTAACTATTGTTATCTATAATTTAGAGGGGTTTGCTGAAGTTTGTCAGTAGATGCTGGATCGTCAGCCAGTACATGCACAGGTCATCCACATGTCTTTACCAGGTCACACAGACCCAGGTAAAACGCAGGCAGCCTCAGCCAGTACGAGCACAGCCAGAGGTGAACAGCCAGCATCAGATCCAAGCAGCTCAGACCCTAATGGAACAGTTGCTGCTCCACCAAATGACCCAGCAGATTGGCACCCAGCCTTATCAGACTTCATGAGGACTGAGTTAGTGCGCAGAGGTCTGTTCAAACCAGCACTGAATTTTTCTGGAAGAGGTTTCTATTCAGGCTTATTGCAGAGGCAGGAGGAGGACTGTAGTGAGAGCATTGCAGTGTCAGGTGTGATTGTGCAGCAATGGCAAATTGTTTACATGGCTCACAAGTCAAGTAAAAGGGCCCCATAGCCCAACACTTTTGTTTTTGCCCCCATTCATCATGAGCTGAACTCAAAGATCTAAGACTTTCTTTATGTACTCAAAAGGCCTATTCTCTCAAATATTGTTCACAAATCTGTCAAAAACATTTTCGAGTGGCCTTTTATTGCAGCCACACTAAGCCACCTGTGCTATACCCATGCTATCTGATCAGCATCTTGACACGCCACACCTGTGAGGTGGATGGATTATCTCGGCAAAGGAGAAGTGCTCACTAACACAGACATCCACATCCGGCCAACGAGAGCAGGCAGCTACTTTTTCACCAAAACACTTTTTACTCACCTCCAGCTCTCTCTGGTGCTCAGACGATCCCTGCTACCTGCGTGTGCTGATCCATCCTTTCACACATATTCTTTGTCTTTATAATTGCTATCTTTATAAAAAACAAACAGCTGTTTCATGTGTAGGTTCGCGTCATTTCCCGTTTCACATTTCACGTGTGTTTTCTTGACAAAACGTGGTTTGGAGACCAACATCGGGTGACACATGTGTAGTGTGTGACCCCCTGTCACCGATCAGTCACGTAGTGTGAATGCCACAAAGACTTCAAGACTCCCGTCACAAGACGCAAATTGTATAGTGTGAACAGCACGGCCATGAAATTCGTGTAGTCTGCACAAGACTTCAGGGAAGCTAGTAAAGGACATACGTTGCAGACTTTCAAAAAAACCCCATGGGGGATGAGGGGGCCTGTGCCCCAGCGGAGCTTTATGTGTAGCAATACCCCTGAATGTTTGTATGACCTGCCACGTCTCTATCAAGGACCGCTTAGAACCTGGACTCTTTTTAAGTGGTGCAGACTGGAACCTACAGCCTCACTGTTTGGGCCCCTGGAAGAGCTTTTAATCCATGTGGGGCTCTGCTGGACCTTCAGGATGACAGCAAACCTGGTCTCTTCTGCAGGTTTTGCTCAGCTGGAACCTTTAAACTAAAGCACATAGTGGATGCTGCAGGACCGCGACTTCACTTTCCACCTTGAAGTCGAGCCGACAAACCAGAGACATTTTGAATTCACAGATTAAAAGACTCACTGCTGACGAACTGGACCTGCTGCAGGACGGTGCCATCAGAGGCTCCTGATAATGGAGACCCTTTCCCTGAGATGGGTCTCAAAATGGGCTGAACTGGATCAACAGGACCCTTGCTGGTCTCTGATTCTGCTGCTAAAATGGACCTATATGTGTTAAACAGGGTGAACAGGCTCTGAGAGGAAAGATGCAGAAAAGTAACAACTTCTAAAGTTTGTAGTGGGACAAGATAAATGATTTGGTGAAACTCAGAGTCCAGGTGGATTTCAGATTCTTTTCCCTGATGAAAACACTGAGGAATTTATTTCACAGAGGTGTTTCTCTACATTTGTTCAGTCATTGAGAGGGAGCTGGAAACACTTCTTCTGAGTCTAACAAAACACTGATGACTCTAAACGTTCATAAACTGCTTGTAATAACTGACTGATTGTAATAACAGTCACAATCTGGTAAAACACAGTTGTGATAATGTAAAATACGTCTTCTTGGGAGAAGTTATAGTTATTGGCGAATACAGCACCTTAATAAACATTTAAAACATTTTTATAACTGTAAACACTTATGTGTTATAAGCCATGAATTAAGTGTGCATGTGCTGCTTATAAATGTTAAATATTGGAACTTAAAGTTTTACCAACATGTTTGAAAAAATCCTCATAATAAAGAAGGAAATGCATTTTATTATTTTCTTTCAGTATCAGTCTAAAGCCACGCAGCTGTTTTAAGGCTCAGTGGTGCTTTGAGCTAAACGCTCAAGTCAGCATGGTGTTTCATGGAAATCCATCCAATAGCTGTTGAGGTATTTTACTTGAAACCTCAAAGTCAACCTGATGGTGGCGCCAGAGGAAAAGTAGGAGGATCATGAAAACAGATCATCCTCTGGGCACTTTCACATTTTGAACAGTCTGACTTCACTAACAATTTTTAGGCATGTGTGAAATATTCCTGCATATTTGGGCCCAGGAGTCTGGACTTTTCATTTTATCAATGCATAGAAACTGACTGATGTTCTCCTGTGTAAATATTTGACAGGATTTTGTTGAGGTCTAATTGTTGACTGGCTCGGAAGATCTATGGAAAGTTCCTTTTCCAGTAGTGAGTATCTGGACCCGATAGAGTCATTATTGCTGCCTGAGATGTGTAGAACCTTTACTGGTCCATGAGGAGGTTTAATGTTGTTTGCTCAGTCACAGCTTTGGTAAAAATGGTGCTTTCTGATCAATCAGATGATGAACGGCAGCCAAGTCGTTACCCTCCAGGTCCTCCAGACCTTCAGATCCGTTTGACGCCGTCTCTGGTTTTTGCTCCTTCCTTACTCCGATCCTCTTCACACACTCTGAGAGAAACACAAAGCAGTTTGTGACACTTGTTAAGGGAATATTGTGTTAACTGCAGAGAAAATAGGTAAACAACAAATACACCTCTCAGCAGGACTAAACCTGGTTTTAAACTGCATTTGTTTGGATCTGCTCTGGTTTTCTTAAAAGCAAAAAGCCAATGAAACCATGCACGGTGAGGCTTGGTGGTGTTTCATTTGCACTGAATTCAGCTTCACCAGGATCAGTCTGTTTCATAAAGCTGGTCTGGCGCTAATGTGAGCAGTGACTTTGAAATAGGTATGTCCAGATAAATTCATTATTGCTGTTGTCCGATCAAGACATTTGTAACTGATCGGTATCGGCCATATTGAGCCCAATCTAATCCATCAACATCATCATCACTTTAAAATGATGTTTCAGTCTGGTGCTTTTTAATTAGAGCGATTTAGTGACTGTTTCCAGTTAAACAAAAAGGTATTTCCACCATATTCTCAGACACTTTTAATAACAATCTAAACTTGTCAGCGGCAAAAACAAGCACTCTAGTGGACGTACTGTGACGGGGCCTATTGCCTGCAAGGATTACGTTGCAGCCCTGTTTCACTGATGCTGCACTGCAAAATTTTTCGTTGTGAATTTACAATAAATAATTGGATACATTTTGCATGATTTTCACAGTAAGGATTACAGCAATATACTGTGAAATATACTCACAGCAATTTACTGTAATTTTATATCTGTGATATTACAATGCATTGTTGTAAAAGCACAACTGTATACTGTAACTTCACAGCTTCAATGACAAAGGAATTACTGTGATATTACAGTACATTACTGGGGAATTACAATCTTTTGCTGTACATCATTACAACAAGGCCCTGTACTTTTACAGTGTGTACTGTGAAAGTAATGTACAAGTTGACAATAATTTACTGTGAATTTACAATGTATACTGTGGAAGTCATGCTAAAATTGTCCAGTAACGTACTGTAAAAGTAATGCAGATGAAGCATCCATTTACTGTGAATTTACAATCATTGTACAATTAACCCCCTCCCCAACAAACAACTCTGAGGTAAATTCAATGTTAGCCCAATGGCATATTTATTAACAAATAAATATTTTTCAATGTGCAGCAGATGCCAAGAACTTCAAGAGTTCAAGAAATTCAACTTTCTAGTCATAAAAGCCATCTTATAATGCAGAAAATGCAGAGAAATTGTGCAAACTTGCAATTCAACTACCTGTTTCACAATTCAACTATTCAACTAGCTGTGTCACAATAACAGTAATGGACAGGATGGGAATGAGGCCTTCATGGCAATATAAGAGAGCAAGGGAGAGAGCGATGAAGGAATGTCTTAAAGGGGTGAGGCGCCCCTCTCAGTCTCAAACATTATAATGAGTCCACATGCAACAGCATTGTGTAAAAATCTTGTAGTGCAAAGTTGTCTTGAAAAATTACAAAAAGAACAAGGCTACTCAAAACTGAGCCTGACAACTACCGCTGCAAAAAACAAAAACGATGATGCCCACTCAAAGTCAATAAGTTTCCTCAAAAGGGTGCTCACATGAGGGTTCATTGTTGTCCGCTTCTTGGTCTTTGAGCCTCTTTCAGGATTGTTGCCCAGGAAGCACCTGTTAATAAGCAAAGATAGTTTCAGTTTTAAATAGACTTACAGTATGTATTGCAGACAGCATTTATCAAGGTGCGCTTTTTGCTGTGCTTTTTCCCCACATCAAACCCTAATAGATTTAAAATCCAAACTTGTTAGATCGTACTCTCACCATAATTTAGCCAAGGTGCCTCAGGTTAGGTTTCCCTGAGGCAAAGTGGTTGATTTTCTACTATGAGAGGCCATATCAACGTGCGCCGCCACTGAAATGCATCTTCACGCAATTGGCCAGTTGGTAAATTAAAACCAAAACCTGTTGCAAGTATGACAAACACATCCTTTTCAATTAAGGGCCTGAGAGCATTTTGTTCTGCTTTTAAAGAAAATTTCATCTACTTCATTCAATACATTCGCATTTCGCAATAGACGTTTTGAAATCATCATCACATAGCCTGCCCCAAAACAAAATAAATAACTGTGATTGGACCAGCAGGTATTTGTCAGCATAACGTGTAGAAAACCAGACTGATCTGCAGAGCGAAATTGAATGAGTTTGCGAGATCAGGATGTTCTTACCAGGCTAGCCTCAGGTACCTCGTTTGTCAGCATTTTAGACCTCAAGAAGCCTGTACTATAATGTGAATTACAAGATTAAATGTGATCTTTATAAAATACCTTTGAATGAATTCCAGCGTTGACGATCCAGAGGCAGGATACTCAAGGTTGAAGACGTAATAGCTGCTGAAGAAAGCAGCTACTCCGTGTAAAAAGATAGGGTGTGGGCCCATCACGACATGTCCCTCGATGGATATAAGCCATCCAGAGGGCTTCATCATGTCACCTGATATGAACAGATACAACATTATGTGTTATGAGCACTTTGCGATCTGCTTAAGACACAAAGGGCTAAACAAATGTAATTCTTATTATAATCATAATTATTATATTTATTGTGGTCATGTAGATTTCTAGAATGAAAAGAAAATAATGAGTTGTCGATAAATGTCGATACTAGATCAAAGTAACATTACCTTGAATGATCAAGCAGGGGGTGCTGGGGAGTTCTGCAGTATTGATGTCCACAGCAGTGGCACATGGCTGTAGTATAGTTAACACACAATAGCATGGATTTAGGATAAAGGATAAATATTGTTCATTGGTCAGAGGTAATAAATCATGCAAGGTAAATGTTGATAATGTAATCACACATTTTGCATTTTAAATATTTGAATAAAAAATCTTACATCAACTTCAAGCATCAAACTCTCTTTCGGCTCTTGTCCAGTATTGCACAGTAATCCAGGATGGTCTGTCCTCGTCGACTAATTGCCTCCTGTAGCTTCTGAAGGACATCGACGTCCGTCAGGAGGCCAAAGTGTGAGAATAAGCATTTCTGAGAGAAGAGAAATGGCCATTCCTGTTTGATCTCAGACATCGCTGCAGCAGGCACTTTGGTAAGGTATTTCCGCAGGATGACGTATGTCTTTTCCATCATTGGTTCTGCTCTCCCTGCCCCATTCATTCCTTCCTCTGTGTATATAGACATACAAATGTATTGTTAGTACCCAAGTAACAATTTGGTCTTGTAGCCGCCCAACACACACTGTGTTCAGATCTTGACCAATTACTAAAGTCTAAACAAAATTACCCAAAAAGAGAGAAGATGGCATGCCTGAGTAGATGTTCAGCAGATCCCTCTTCATATTCTCCAACGTTGCCTCGGTCTCCCCCTCTGGCCAATCTGCTGGGCCCCACCTGACACACCTAGGAGTGGGCATCACAGGGTAACAATACTATTGGGGACGGTTATAGCTCAGAAGTTGGAGCAAGTCGTCTCATGACTGAAGGGTCAGCAGTTCGATTCCCTGTTGTGACTGTTTAAATAGACCCATCCCACAGAAGTTATGTTACAGTGTAAAAGTTTTGTAAACACAGGTGCATTTTATCAAACTAATTAAAGGGATATTCCACCATTTGGGGAATTAAGCAATACCACATATAGCTCCAGTCTAGCATAGATCATTGGATCGGATTAGACCATTAGCATCTCACCCTCAAAATGACTAAGATTTCCGGAATTTTTCCTATTTAAAAGTTGTCTCTTCTCAAGTTAGAACGTGCAATAAAACTAGCGGAAAATGAAACATGGCAATTTTCTAGGCTGATTTGACATGGAACTATACTCTCATTCTGGCGTAATAATCAAGGAACGTTGCAAACGTACCATGGGCGCAGTGATATTACGCAGCACCTGAAAATACTTTCAGGTGCTGCGTGTTCCTCGGCAGCCTCTGAATACTGCACATGATGCACATCTATGTTTTCTGGAAATATGTGAAGCAAAAGTCATCACGTGTGTGAACGTGCAATCACAACCTCTAAATGGACATCTAGTTACCATTCCTCCCCTTATGTGCGTCTTCAAATGTTTAATAAGAGAGGCCAAAGCGTCACACTTAAATGCACAAGCCTCAAGCAGACATTTCAAGGGTGTAAGAGCTGATGTGTCAGGCAGTATAGGCCCAGCAGCCTGCAAGTAGGACCTATGCTGCCTATACATATGAATTTGCAGTCCTGTGTGTTTTCTGTACCTCCGTGAGCAGTCAGGCACCCCACACTGGTAGTGATAATTGGGGGCATTGCTATGCAGTTTTGTGTGCTGAACATAGTTACACACATTCTCAGACACATGCTCACAGCCAACGAATTTACAGTTGAACATTGTGGATGCATGTTAACTAGTCACCTACCTAATCTAATTCTCCTCACTCTTAGCCTGACAGGATGGTTAGCCTCGCCCTTTGTTGACCTGGAAAGAAAAGAAAAGAAAAAGGAGAAATTATACAAAGGCAACCAACAATAAGAATTTCAGTTTGAATGCAGATTATGATAATTGATTTTCATTTAATTTTAGCCGTATGTCAAAAATGATAGTGGTATATCTATAGTGTTTTTTTACTGTAGCACTTTGAGATTGCTCACTCAATGTAAAGTGCATTTACAACTTTTACAATTATTATTCATTCATATCAGGACAAGTGGGAACTCTAGTGTTAAAACCCTCCAGTTGTCGAACACGACATGAGACTAACTTACTCCAGTTAGCTCAGTCATGTTGTAACTAGGATATCCGCTGGAAAAATATTTTTTCATGGAAGCATGGAACCGTGAATGAGAAAGTTCTGGAGAGTGATTTTGTGTTGTTTGAATCACTTTCTTTTTTTGACGGTGAATCACCATTTGAAGTTATTAAAGTTAAACAGCTAACAGTTAGCAATGCTAATCTATGATAACCTTGACTAATTACAGAAATGTGCACAAATAAATAGTAATGTTTGTCCCATCATTGGTTTTATAAACTTTACAAACACTAGATTTGTCTAAACGGGGATAGTGACATGAAAAACTGTACATTACTAACATTACTACTATTAGCAAATGCTGTGAGAGAACTTTCAACAATTCCGGGCACTTGCTAACAAAATGTGAACTGAGTCATGCGATAAACATTTATTTGAAAGTAAATATTATTATCATATTAAAATAACATGGGTGTAAGTGCTGCAAACATGCATGCTGCTCACCTTCTCCATTCAGCCCGGAATAGAAGAGGGACACGACGGAGCCTTCAGTTCAAAACAGTTCAGTTATGTCATGGCACACTGTAATAATACTGTTTAATGCTGTGAAATCCTTAATTTTTTCACTGTGTTGCTGTGATATTACAGACCTTGTTGTGATATAACAGCAGGTTTTAGATTGCAAGATTTTACTATAAAATAAGAGTTAAATGCTGTAAAATCCAAGGATACTGTAGTTTTTACAGGTATTCATCGGGATATTACAGGGAAACTCATTTACAACAAGTTACTGTAAAATAATACTTTTAATTATTGTGAAATGCTGGTAATTTCTAACAGTGTGACTGCAGCGCGCTCACTAAATACTGGACCAGTTTTAAAAATGTTGTGCCAATTAGTCACTACACACAAAAACATGGAAAAATAGTAGCGTAGTTATTTGACGCAAAAGGTACTTTTGAGCGTCAGGATGAGACACAGAAGACACGGAAGCGCTAGGCCGAGGTGCTAGCAGGTGGAGTTAACTTCCTTTGTGTTGCTTCGCACTAGCAAACTGTTGTTGTTTCACATGGACACTTTTTGCATCAAATACTTCGCTTCACAGGATAAAACCGAGACCTACGCCCTTTTCTCCGTGCTGGTTGGCCCTTCCTCTGGAGGGGGGATCTGCGCATATTTCTCCGAGACAGGATAAAACCGAGACCGACGCCCTTTTCTCCGTGCTATCTGGCCATGCCTCCCAGGCTTGTGAGTTTGACGCTATATTCTCCGTGCTGGTTTCATATGACAGATCCCACCTTCCAGAGAGAAATAACCGCAGATGGGTGGGCGATGGGTGGAGCCAAATCGTTGACTATAAAAGCGAGACAGGTCTCCAGCTAAACCAAAACCTTTATCGCTACCTGCTGTCAGCACTGAATAGCTGGACGGACACGTTTTTCTGCTGAAGACTCTGGACGCTCATCGGTGAAATCGCATCACATTTCACTCTGGATTGACTTGATTATGGAAGGGACACTAAATCTCCTGAGTGTTTTACTGTTTGCGGTAATTGTCAGAGGTCAGTTTATTGATAATTTAATATTATTTATGCCTCCTATAGGCCCCATGTTTTGGGCTGATGTCAGATTTCTAATCTTGTAATAGAGTATGAGATATTTTGGGGCCTTTGTGAAATATTGCATGGATGAAACAGTGTGAATATGACAGGGTGTCAGTGGTAAAACAACCAAACCTACAAGCTCCACATAGATTTTATTGAAGTATGTGGTAGCCTGTACAGTATGTGCTGCTTTATTTGCACATGTTATGTTGATTAGATTGAAATACTGTATATTAGCCTACTTTATTTTGTTTCTGCTGAGGGGAGACAATTTGACCATTTTATGTTTGCATGTGTGAAAACTAGTGATGGGAGGATGAAGTCTGTTCTAAGACAGTTCTGAAGTTAAAAAGTTAAAGGCAAGGTGTAAAACATGTTACTTCCAGTTGCCAGTAGGTGGCGTTATGACAATTAAAATATCACTTTGGTTGCAACCTAAGTTTGGTGTGAAGCAGTTGTTGGTAATGCAAAACTTATGGACACCAACAAACACTTTTGGGGATTAAAAAGTGTATTCGTCTTGACTCTCTTCTCAATCTGACACTGAGTTTCCATCCATAATATATCATGTACATATACTTTTATATTGTATGTACCTTAGACCACATTTAACTTGAAATGTACAGCTCATTTTTAGTGTCAAATCCAGCAAATTTATCACTTATATTGTTTATGATGAACAGAACAGGCAAATATATATTATAAGACACTAATGATGAAGAAAAGACCACAGCTGAGGGACAGGAGGTGTCTGAAATTCAAGCGAGTCAAATCAAGTCCACATGGTTGACACTCGTGCCTCGAAACATTACTTTAATGTTTTTATTTATTTTTATTATGTATTATTTTTACATTACAGAACATACAAACTCAAACTGAGTTGTCTGAGATGATATCACTCAATTTAAACACCTGGACTCTGCAACGCAGAACATTTTAAATGCTGCAAAGATGGCTGTTCTTCAGAGGCTTTCAAACTGTCTAAATATATTACTATTATAATTATATTACTAATACTATATATCTTTGTTTCCTCAGGAGAGCCTCCTGCCATGTGCCAGACTCAGCCGATAAAGGCAGCAGAAGGTGATGATGTGACTCTTCAGTGTCGTCTGGATCCTCCGGTCAACCTGTCTGCTTTCACTGTGGACTGGACGAGACTTGAGAACAAGGATATCGTCCACGTCTATCGACATCAACAGGACGATCCTGATCCACAGACGGATCAATACAGAGGCAGGACGACTCTCCTCCATGAAGACCTGATCAGAGGAGTCCTGACTCTGCACATCTCCTCAGTGAAGCTGTCTGACAGAGGACTTTACAAAGGCTTTGTCCCAAACCTGAAGACCAGCTGTGTTGTTGACCTCATTGTTGGTGAGCATGCTGAGTTTAATACTGTTCAGGTTCATTTAATTCAAAGTGTATATAACGTTGTTCCTAAATTAGACCTCTCTTATTAGAAACGGTGGGAAAAGACCAGCAGAACGAGACAAAGAGAGATGATTCCAGCACAACTGGACCTCCAGAGGAAGAAGAGACCGAGCCAGACGGTCGTGGTAAATGTCTTTGAATATTTCTTTCTTTGTTCAACTTTATCCTCTGAGTGCAAGATGATCTGCTGTGTGGAAATGTGCAGCAGGTCTGAACATTTAATGTGAGCATTTTTACATGCACTCACAGTGGTAGAAGAAGTGCTCAGAGCCTTTACTTAAGTAAAAGTGCAAATGTAAGACAATGAAAGTGACTCTGTTACAAGTAAAAGTCCTGCATTTAAGTAAAGGTACAAAAGTATCTTTAAGTATTCTTCTCAAAGGGAGGCTACTGCTTGTGCAGTAAAATGTCCAACACATTCTCATCTCAGTGCATCAATTACCGACGCTTTCAGAAAGCGTGAAAAAGTGAAGCGAAGTATTTGATGCAAAAAGTGTCCATGTGAAACAACAACAACAGTTTGCTAGTGCGAAGCAACACAAAGGAAGTAACTCCACCTGCTAGCACATCGGCCTAGCGCTTCCGTTTCTTCTGTGTCTCATCCTGACGCTCAAAGGTACCTTTTGCGTCAAATAACTACGCTTTGTCAGCCTTTCTGAAAGCATCAGTATCTGACACCCTGACATGAGAATGGGCTCAAATGTCCCCTGTGACCGATTATTTTGTTAGTTCTGATGCGTCAGTGTTAGAGCAGAGCAGGACCTTGGGTCTGTCCTTCCTCTAAACATCTAAAGCATCTTCTCTGAACTATTTTCAGGTGGTGGAAACAGGAACCGTGGCCGTGCTGGGATCATTTTCAGCGTTGTCTTATTCATTCTCTGCCTCGTCGTTTTTGGTGTTCTGCTTCTGAGGAAGAAAATAACAATGCGTAAGTTACTAAACAACATTTAACATCTAAGGCGCCTTTAAAGGGTAACTTCAGTTGTTTTTTTTTTTTCAACCAGGGCCTCATTTTTCCATGTTTTTGTGTGTAGTGACTAATTGGTACAACATTTTTAAAACTGGTCCAGTATTTAGTGAGCGCACTGCAGTCAGCATCAGTGAAACAGGTCTGCAACGTAATCCTTGCAGGCAATAGGCCCCGTCACAGTACGTCCACTAGAGTGCTTGTTTTTGCCGCTGACAAGTTTAGATTGTTATTAAAAGTGTCTGAGAATATGGTGGAAATACCTTTTTGTTTAACTGGAAACAGTCACTAAATCGCTCTAATTAAAAAGCACCAGACTGAAACATCATTTTAAAGTGATGATGATGTTGATGGATTAGATTGGGCTCAATATGGCCGATACCGATCAGTTACAAATGTCTTGATCGGACAACAGCAATAATGAATTTATCTGGACATACCTATTTCAAAGTCACTGCTCACATTAGCGCCAGACCAGCTTTATGAAACAGACTGATCCTGGTGAAGCTGAATTCAGTGCAAATGAAACACCACCAAGCCTCACCGTGCATGGTTTCATTGGCTTTTTGCTTTTAAGAAAACCAGAGCAGATCCAAACAAATGCAGTTTAAAACCAGGTTTAGTCCTGCTGAGATGTGAGAGGTGTATTTGTTGTTTACCTATTTTCTCTGCAGTTAACACAATATTCCCTTAACAAGTGTCACAAACTGCTTTGTGTTTCTCTCAGAGTGTGTGAAGAGGATCGGAGTAAGGAAGGAGCAAAAACCAGAGACGGCGTCAAACGGATCTGAAGGGAAAAAGCTGAACACTCAAGCAGCAGACGGGGACGAGGACCTGGAGGGTAACGACTTGGCTGCCGTTCATCATCTGATTGATCAGAAAGCACCATTTTTACCAAAGCTGTGACTGAGCAAACAACATTAAACCTCCTCATGGACCAGTAAAGGTTCTACACATCTCAGGCAGCAATAATGACTCTATCGGGTCCAGATACTCACTACTGGAAAAGGAACTTTCCATAGATCTTCCGAGCCAGTCAACAATTAGACCTCAACAAAATCCTGTCAAATATTTACACAGGAGAACATCAGTCAGTTTCTATGCATTGATAAAATGAAAAGTCCAGACTCCTGGGCCCAAATATGCAGGAATATTTCACACATGCCTAAAAATTGTTAGTGAAGTCAGACTGTTCAAAATGTGAAAGTGCCCAGAGGATGATCTGTTTTCATGATCCTCCTACTTTTCCTCTGGCGCCACCATCAGGTTGACTTTGAGGTTTCAAGTAAAATACCTCAACAGCTATTGGATGGATTTCCATGAAACACCATGCTGACTTGAGCGTTTAGCTCAAAGCACCACTGAGCCTTAAAACAGCTGCGTGGCTTTAGACTGATACTGAAAGAAAATAATAAAATGCATTTCCTTCTTTATTATGAGGATTTTTTCAAACATGTTGGTAAAACTTTAAGTTCCAATATTTAACATTTATAAGCAGCACATGCACACTTAATTCATGGCTTATAACACATAAGTGTTTACAGTTATAAAAATGTTTTTAAATGTTTATTAAGGTGCTGTATTCGCCAATAACTATAACTTCTCCCATGAAGACGTATTTATATTATATAACTGTGTTTCACCAGATTGTGACTGTTATTAAGTTTTTTGTTCTCTCCTTACTGATTTATATATTTAAGCCTACTTTGTGGTTGATATCAGATTTATAATCTTGTATGAGTTTGAGATCTATTATTGGCTTAATTGCCAAGAAGTCATTCTAAAATATTGTGTGAATGAAAATAAAGTTTTACGTTTGTCCAAGACAGTCCATGTGACTGATTATCTGTTTGTACACAGGCATCAATTTATGGACAGGAGGAGCTGGAGCTTAAGACAGATACATTAATAAACACTTACACTCCAGTTTATTAGGGACACCTAGCTAAAGCTAACTTCTGTGGACACAACTTATATCAATGAGGTTAGGCTGAATAGTGAACACTTGTATAATGCTATAAGATTCAACAGCACAACAAACTGCAGCCTCCAAAATTATCGTCAAGTCAACAAAAACTAAACATTATAAACTTCATGAAGGAGGACTGTTGTATTCGAGTGCATTAGTTGAAGCTGGGTGAGTGTAGAAACTCTTACTAACTTGTTCTTCTGTTCAAATATTGCCAATAACGTTGTGCTCTTGGTCACATCAGCAACATCAGCGAGAGCTTTCCATCACTTTAAATTCATGACAATTAAGAAGATTTAAATATCAGGTTGGTTCTGGGAAACTGATCTGACTGCTGTAAATCTCTCTGTTGATTACCCAAACAACAAACACCAAGAAGTCTCCTGCTCGTTTCTAACACTGTTGTTGTCCCTTTAATGTCTATGTTGAATCAATCACTGCAGATTAACTTCTGTATGAAGATGTATATTTTTATATTAGAATTGCACTGATTTGATGAAGATTATCAGTTTTTGTGATGATGTTTTTTGTGCCTTAATTTCCTTCCTTGTACCTGAATTAAAACGGATTGTTCTGAGGTCATGGGTTGAGGTACATTTATATTAATGGATCACAATACTTTTTCACATTCACTTTCTATTAGTTTTACATTTGTAACTCTGCCCTGGATTTAATAGCATCTTATGTAAAATAACATTCACAGTAAAATCATCCATACACAAATACATTGTAGAGGGAGAGAGAGAAAAGGCTTGTAGTGCTCTCTATGCAGCTAAATAGAAATTCTATAAGTATCCTAAATAAAATCTGGTGTCAAATATTTGACAGTGTTATTAAGGTGATTGCGCTCTATGAAAGTCAAGTTTGGATTCCACTCAGTCATCAGAACTACAACAGATGGGAGAAGCATCGCTGAATTCTGCAGAAACATCCTTCAAATTCAAAGAATGTCTCCTACAAATGTGTGAAGGGCTGTAGTAGCGCAGTTTCTAATGATTATAGATACCCGAAAAAGAACACTAAACATTCTGATGCACCTCAGATCAAGTCCCCAATACTCCCTCCAATTCAAGGGTCTTAAATCAGAATCAGAAATACTTTATTGATCCCCGAGGGGAAATTCTTTTGTCACAATTGCACACTTGTCAAAAGGTAGATAGATAAAGAGTATATAAATATAATAGTATAAAATATGGAACAATATAAAGGTGTGTGGGTATGTACAATATTTACATTATTAAGAATTATTATGGTGAACCAAAAGGACTACTGAATAAATAGCAGCAGAGAATATTGCACATTAATTATTAAACAGGTAATATTGGACAGAAAATAGATAATAAGGTCTAGTTTAATAACTGACTAAGTGTCAGACACTTAAAGGGAGGAGTTATAAAATGTGATGACCACAGGCAGGAATGACTTCCTGTGGCGCTCTGTGGTGCATTTTGGGGGAATGAGTCTTGCACTGAAAGTGCTCCTGTGTTTGAGCAGCAAAGTCACGGAGTGGGTGGTAGACACTGTCCAAGATGACATGTAATTTGGACAGCATCCTCCTCTCTGACACCACCGACCACAACGTCACTGGCCTTGTGGATCAGTTTGTTGAGTCCGTTAGCGTCTGCTCCCCTCAACCTGCTGCCCCAGCATGCAACAGCAAACAGGATAGCACTGGCTACCACAGACTCATAAAAGATCCTCAGCATCGTCCTGCAGATGTTGAAGGACCTCAGCCTCCTCAGAAAATAGAGACGGCTTTGGCTCTTCCTGTAGAGGGCTTGGGTGTTCTTGGCCCAGTCCAGTTTATTGTCCATGTGCACTCAGGTATTTGTAATCCTCCACAATGTCCACACTGACCCCCTGGATGGAAACAGGGGTCACTGGTGCCTTGGCTCTTTTTAGATCCACAACCAGCTCTTTGGTCTGTCACGTATACACACACACACACACACACACACACACACACACACACACACGAACACAGCAGGTGGTTCTTCTCACACCATGTGACAAAGTCCCCCACCACAGCTCTGTACTCAGCCTCATCACCCTTGCTGATACATCCAACCACAGCAGAGTTATCAGAAAACTTCTGAAGATGGCAGAACTCTGTGTGGTAGTTGAAGTCTGGAGTGTAGATGATGAAGAGGAAGGGAGAGAGGTTGTTGACACACAGTGTTGCAGGCGCACATACTGTGGTCTGCCAGTCAGGTAGTCAAGAATCCAGGACACAAGGGGGGCATCCACCTGCGTCTCACCCAGCAGGGCCAGCCGGATGGTGTTGAAAGCACTGTAGAAGTCAAAAAACAGGACCCTCACAGTGCTCGCCGGCTGGTCCAGGTGGGCGTAGATGTGGTTGAGCAGGAAGATGAATGCGTTCTCAACTCCCAGTTTGCGCTGGTAGGTGAACAGGACGGGGTCTAGAAGAGGTCTGACCATGGGCCGCAGCTGATCCAGAACCAGTCTCTCCGGGGTCTTCATGATGTGGGAGGTCAGTGCCACAGGTCTGTAGTCCTTGGAGTCACTGGGACGTGACGTCTTTGGCACAGGAACGAGGCAAGATGTCATCCACAGCACAGGGACCCTGTGGAGATTCAGGCTCAGGTTGAAGACGTGGTGAAGGAGTCCACATAGCTGGGGGGCACAGGCTTTGAGCACCCCGGGGCGGACACCATCAGGGCCTGCAGCCTTGTTGGAGTGGAGTCTCCTCAGCTGTCTTCTCACCTGGTCAGCAGTGAGGCACAAGAGGTTAAGGTGTGGGAGGGGGAGAGGAGGAGTCGTCAGGCTGGAGAGAGCTGTTAAACTGAGAGCCAGAGGAGGGGGGGTTGGTGTCTCACAGGAGGGTGGGGGACAGTGAGGAGGAGGAGGGGGAGTAGTTGGGTTGGAGGTGTTAGAGGTGAGACAGCAGCTGAGTTAGTCGGGGGACGGGCGGGAGCCATTGAGTCAAATCTGTCAAAGAACTAGGGCTGAAATAATTAATCGATTAAATCATAAAATCGATTCATAAAATGCTTCAACACAAATTCTTTGCGTTCTCTATCGCTCATTTCCCGTTTCACATTTCACATGTTTTCTTGATATAAGTGGTTTGGAAACCAGTGTCGGGTTCCATAGTTGCTGTCAGCTCCTGTAGTGTGTGTCCCTGTCACCGATCGGTCACGTAGTGTGAACGCCGTAACGACTTCAAGCCTGCCGTCATATTAGGGCAAGCTGTGTGAACTGCACAGCCATCGGCCGACGCTGACAGTCGTGTATTCTAACTTGTAGCAGCTGTCTGGTTGTTGGTCTGATGTTTGCTGTTTAACACACTATGAATTTCCGAAAGGACTAATAAATATCTATCACCTATAAATGTGCACAGCTCACATACTGGGTGAAGTTAGTAAGTGTGGTGGCCATGGTGACGTGGTTGAAGTCACCCGAGATCACTATGAGGGCACTCAGGTGTTGAGTCTGGACTTCAGCAATGGCGGTGTTGCTGCGCAACGGTGCCGTGGCTTACCAAAACTCGCTCAACTTGCATGATTAGAGAGAGTGTAGTTTAAATTAAGTATAGACCAAAATCACACACGTGAGATATAAAAAAAACAAAGTTGAAAGTTAGAAAAGAAGACGATTAACGACGGAGCTAGTGATGTGTCCGCTGTGTTTGATGACGTGTGTGACCGATTCAGCAGATGGTTTGCGGTTTGGCGTGCGATTCAAAAGGAGCAGCAAAATGCAATGGACCCTCAACATTTTGTGGACTTTTGAACTTGAAATTGAACACGGTTAGATTTTATCTACAGCATTTTAAATGGCTAAAAAAATTATCAACTTATGTCAGAATTGCTTTGATCAAATAACTTTAAAATATTTTGTGCTTTTGGTAAGAATTAAACTCTTACCCCATATTACCCTAATAATAATTTTCTAAAGCAGGTAAAATCATCTCCAAGAAACCGCCTGAAGCCCAGCACTGTGGAAGTGTTATTTTAAAATAGATTAATAAAATGTTGTCTCCATTATCTAAAGTCAAAAACCAAGTTATCATAACCCTCTCCCTTGTTTCCACTTTCCTTTTGACCCTGGCATTGTATCATAAAGACAGACACCTTATTAAAGTCATGTATTGGCATCACAAACATCATTCATTAATTTATTCAATTCAAAGCTTCACACACCAAAGCTACACTCACCTAAAGGATTATTAGGAACACCATACTAATACTGTGTTTGACCCCCTTTCGCCTTCAGAACTGCCTTAATTCTACGTGGCATTGATTCAACAAGGTGCTGAAGCATTCTTTAGAAATGTTGGCCCATATTGATGGATAGCATCTTGCAGTTGATGGAGATTTGTGGGATGCACATCCAGGGCACGAAGCTCCCGTTCCACCACATCCCAAAGATGCTCTATTGGGTTGAGATCTGGTGACTGTGGGGGCCATTTTAGTACAGTGAACTCATTGTCATGTTCAAGAAACCAATTTGAAATGATTGGAGCTTTGTGACATGGTGCATTATCCTGCTGGAAGTAGCCATCAGAGGATGGGTACATGGTGGCCATAAAGGGATGGACATGGTCAGAAACAATGCTCAGGTAGGCCGTGGCATTTAAACCATGCCCAATTGGCACTAAGGGGCCTAAAGTGTGCCAAGAAAACATCCCCACACCATTACACCACCACCAGCAGCCTGCACAGTGGTAACAAGGCATGATGGATCCATGTTCTCATTCTGTTTACGCCAAATTCTGACTCTACCATCTGAATGTCTCAACAGAAATCGAGACTCATCAGACCAGGCAACATTTTTCCAGTCTTCAACTGTCCAATTTTGGTGAGCTCTTGCAAATGTAGCCTCTTTTTCCTATTTGTAGT